ATGCGGGACTCGATCCCGGGACTCCAGGATCATGACCTGAGCCGAAGGCAGTTGCTTAACCAACTGAGCCACCCAGGCGCCCTCTTTTTTTTTTTAAAGAAAGAGAAATACTTACTTTCCACCAGTCTTCATTGGTGTCTTCTAGAAGAGTAATCATGTCTCCTGGCCTATGAATGAACGGGTTAAATGGGGAAGGTGGGGAGGGGGGGAGAGAAAAAGATGACACTTCAGAGTCACAAGTAATAGTTTTTCATGTATACAAATAATCCTAAAATAAATAGAAGTAAAATAAACATGACTTTTTCTCAGTTCTTCCCACCCATGAAAATAGTTTTGTTATACATTCGAAACAAGTATTATTTCTGTGCTGTATTTTAAAAAATAATACTAGCTTTATTTTTTGAAAGTTTTTCTTTATTTTGAGAGAGAGAGAAAGAGAGAGTGAGCGTAGGGGAAGAGGCAGACCCAGAGGAAAAGAGAGAATCTCAAGCAGACTCCACGCTGAGCACAGAGCCTGACTCGGGGCTCAATCCCATAACCATGAGATCATGACCTCAGCTGAAATCAAGAGTCAGGTGCTTAACTGATTGAGCCACATAGTTGCCTCAGTATTAGCTTTATTTTTACATATAGAGAAGGGTTCTTTATTATTTCTGGAAGCTTCCTATTCATATTTGCCACTTTCTGTTATGGATGTCATACTATAATAGATCTGGCTGAGGATATTATTATGTTTTTAAAACAATATTTCTTTCCTTTATTGAATTCTTTGTTTCCTCTAGAATTGGTTGGCCTCCTCTTTATCGCTTCTCCTTTTTGTCAAGGAATTTTCCTCAACATCTGTATTTCTTGGTTGTTTCTTTACATTAATGGCTGAACACAGAGGTAGATGGGTGTGGACAGCTGGGTGAGCTTCTCTGCTATTACATGCATCTGCTTCTGCACTGTGTCTCTCTCCCAAATACAAGGACTACTTTCAGGCTCTGCTTAAGAGAGCAGGGTGTGTCGATTGGGGCATCTCATTTTTAGATGCTTGAAAATGTAGCAGGCAAGCAGCCTGGAGTCTCCTACCATACTCCAATGGCTAAAACAGGGCAGGGCTCTCTCTTAACCTTGGTGAGGGAGAGGTCAGTTGATTCTCCTGTTAAATACAGCTGCCTTTTCCTTCCCTCCCCCTGCTCTCTAGATGGTCTGTGGTCTAGAGTTATTGAAACACAGTTCTTTGTCTTTCTCAGACTTCTGTGCTCACATAGGAGCCCTCCCTTAGGCATGGGTTCCCTTTCTTCTGAGTTTAGGTGTTCCTTTGATTCTGGAGTCAAACACCGTTGCTGCCTATTGCTCATTATAAGCAGTAATGTGGTGTCGTGAATACAGCTGGGAGTCTGTATCAGTCATATATTGCCATGATAATGCTGTGTAACAGACAGCCACAAAACAATGACTCACTCACATGCCTGGGTGTTGGCTGGCTGTTGGCTGGGATGACTGGGGAGACTTTGCCCTATTTCCTGTTTCTCATACCCCAGAAGGCTAATTTGCACATTCATGGCAATGCCAGAATTTTAAGAGCAGCAAATGGAAACATGCAAAACACATAAGGCCTCCAAGGCCAGGCTCGAAATCATACATTGTCACTTCTGCCTCATTTTATTGGGCAAAGCATGTCATGAGGCCGGTCAGACTCAAGGATTGGGACAGGGGCTCCACTTCTGTGGTGACAGGAACTGTAAAGTCCCATGGCAAAGGGCAGTACAGGAAAGGGTGAAGAATTTGGGTCATTAATGCAATCAAGCCACTAGAGACACCCTCATGTTCTTCAATGAATTTGCTATAAGTTCAGTGTCTCCTTGAATGTGCCCCTATTTGCTGTAGTTTGCCAGGAACTTCTCACAATTTTGGGGTCTCGGATACTATTATTTCTTGTTTTCTAGTACTGTTATAGAGGTATTCTTAAAAAAATATATTTTCTGATATTTTAAGGGATTCGAGCAAGAGAGGAAGTAGATCCGTGGGCTCATTTTGCCATTCTGAGTCAATCTCTTCTGCTGTCATTTTCAATTCTCAGTTAATATCTATCTTTGTAGGGGATTCCAAATAGAACAGGCTTGTTGCACCTGAAGCATTAAACACGAGTGGCATTTTGGTATTTCAAGTCACAGTTCTGTGCTGATGCCACAGAAGGCAAGATGGCTGAAAATCACTCTTTTCCCAGGTGAGCAGCAAAGATGAAAGCTGATGTAGAACAATCTTTCTAGCTCCAGCAGATTTTACTTAACTTAATAACTTAAAGAAACCGTGTGTTAGCATCAAGTCCAATGACTTTGCTGATGGCTTGGAAGAAGCGGGAAGTAAGGAATAAAGCTGGAGGGGGGGGGGCACCTTTTCCTAAGAGTGAAAAAGGATGCTGCCTGGATCCAACCACTGGTTTTACGGTCTAGATAGAGACTCACTCTTTACCATGGCCAAAGGTAAAGAGTGGCTGTCCCTGAGCATATGGCCCATGGTAACTAAACCACATATAAGAATAAGGCACTGGGCGCCTGGGTGGCTCCGATGGTTAAGCGTCTGCCTTCGGCTCAGGTCATGATCCCGGCGTCCTGGGATCGAGTCCCGCATCGGGCTCCCTGCTCCTTGGGAGCCTGCTTCTCCCTCTGCCTCTCTCTCTGTCTCTCATGAATAAATAAATAAAATCTTTAAAAAAAAAAAAAGAATAAGGCACTCACTGGAACACAAGCTAAAATTTTATGAGCAATACCAGTCACCCTCTTGACAGTGTGATGGGGATTGTCTTATCCTAAAAAAGAACATTGCCAGGACCAGAAAATTGCTTAGTGAGGGAGGAGAGTTACGTTCAACTATTTATTCCTTTTTGTTTGTTTGTTTACCAACTCATTCAACAAATATTCCAGATTGCCGATTCTGGGTATTCTTTGGAGAATAACATCTTCACTGGAGTTAATGTTCGAGTGAGAAAAATGGACACAAATAAGCAAATATATAACACAATGTTTAACAAGGTTATAAATAATAAGAAGAAGGTAATCTGTATCTCTGATGAATATATAATCACAAATTATCATAAGGGCTATGAAGAGAATAGATGGGATGCAGTTATAAAGCATAAGGGTAGATGACTGATATTAGCCAACTACTCTAATCATCTGGTGGAGACAGCTAATGTCTCTTTTTCACTGCAGGCAAGATCTTGCCCCAGGCAACACTTGAATCCAAGACAGCAACGCTCTGACATCTCGGTCAGCAAACCCGTGGCCCGTGGCGTTCGTCCTGCCCCCTGCCCCTGCCCCGCATCACCCACCAGTCTCGGCACTGTTCCATAGCACCTGCATTCATGGGGCCCAGGCCTGTGCATCCGAGTGGGCAAGCAAGATAAAACCACTCTGGGTAATGTCATGTTTTTAATTTAATTAATTTTCAAAGATTTTATTTATTTATTTGACAGAGAGAGACACAGCAAGAGAAGGAACCCAAGCAGGGGGAGTGGCAGAGGGAGAAGCAGACTCCCTGCCGAGCAGGGAGCCCGATGGGGAACTCGATCCCAGGACCCCGGGATCATGATCTAAGCCGAAGGCAGACGATTAGCCGACTGAGCCACCCAGGCACCCCTTTAATTTATTTTTTAAGAGGTGTCTTGACTCAGTTTTGAAACTCTAGCTAGAGGCCAGTCAGTTCCCCTTAAGCAACTGGTTAAGTCAACACCTGAACCACTTCCCCTAGGACTCTCATAGTCCAGGACATGATACACCAGCCCCAGCCCTACCTGTTTTTGGGGCCAGATTCCAGACAACGAGCAACAGCCCTTATGCCCTGGAACCTGCGAAATTATTCAAATTCGCTAATCCACAGGGAGCCTGGGAAACCAGCTAACCCCGGCTGCTGGCCATACGTAAGCTGCCCCTACAGCCTGAGGGCGTTCTTCCCCTGACTCCCAGCTGCAAGCCTGGGTGGCCCTGGGTGGCTGCCCTCCACTATCAACTGTAAGTTCTCTACTCAATCGGTTCTCAACTTCGTTTTCTTCTCTCAGCCATGGTGTTGGTGCACTATGTCCTGCCATCAAAGAACTAACTGCAAACATTCTGCTCACTCGCTCCACATAGGGAGAGCCTGTCCATCGTTCCTGGAGGAATGGAGGCCTAATACCTAAAAATCCTCCTTCCCCCAGTTGGTCCTAGGATGGACACTGGCATGCCAGGGCATGACTCTTTGCCTTCAACCATTTCATGCTTCTGTGGCCCACCAGGCCCCTCTCCATGGAACAGTTCTTTCTCATTTTGGGGTCTCACACCCCAAAGTCCTGCTCTGGTCTAACAGTTCCTCTCTTTCTTTCAGGAGACCTTATGTTCCTGATCCATAATGTGCAGATTTTATAATTTAACTCTATTTCCAAATTCCTGGCGATGAACTTGTCAGGCCCCCAAATATTTAAAAAAAGATTCCCTTTGCTTAATTCAATCAGAGCATCCTAAGTTCAGGTAAGCATTTTGCTGTACTTTACCCAAGAATGATACATGTACACAACATAATGTACATCATAAACAGTAAAGGGATCAGTTTCCTCTTTGGCGCAGACTGATCAGAGCACCGCAGCTGGCCTTTTCTTTTGGTTTGCTCAGTAACATTGGTCTTGGATCCAGAGGATGATTTTCGGGTTGGTTATATAACGATTTTTGGAAAGTCTTGACATGATGAGGGAACTGTGCACTACCATCAAGAGCAGGAATAGAGTAAGAACAGCTAACTGATGAATCACCACTCAACAGCGAGGGGACAACGTTGATCTGTGAGCGTGTGTGTCTGTGTCCGTGGGTGGGAACTGGATGGCTGCTATCTGGTTCCTTTTCAGCAGTCCTCTGCCTCCTTCATTTCTCAGTTTTGCATTTGGACATAGGAACCTCTCTCTCCCACCACAAGGGAGACTGGTTTTGGGGACTTAGAGGGCACAGTATCACTGAGCATATGGCTGATGCTAGCTGGGCCCAGCCAGCTTCAGGGAGCTCTTCTGCAAGGTGTTATGGCCATGGTTTGGTCTTCTAGGGGTGGGCTTTTGGAGGGTGGAGGGGGAGTTGTCCTGAGGCCCCTGCCCAGTCTCTCCATTCCCCATGGGGACCACAGATTCCTAGGAGTGCAGACACCGACACCTTCCTGATGA